TTAACAAAAGAGTAAAATACTAATTTTTTGATAATTTTGTTGCTAAAGGTTTTGACTTTGATTAAATTAATTTGTTAATCTTGATTGTTGTGTGGTGTTTGGATTTTTTGTTAAATAATAGTATAATTAGGGTGTGTTGTTAGTTTGTTTAATAGACCCTTAGAGTAAGAAGACCTCATTAATGATTATTTCACAAGTCAGACCATCCTGAGCCATATATTAATGATTATTTCACAAAAGCAACATACTTAAAGGCATATAAACACTTGTTAGAGCCTTTAAATTGACCTCGGGAATGGCCACTTAGTAATGACCTTGTCCTGCCACCAAAATTGAAAAGATTCATCACAAGCCAAAGACTAAAAGAGGATTGTAGGCTGGAGAAGTAACAACAACAGGCTAGCTCATGAAGACATGAATTGTGATGACCTGCAAACTATGTGGTGTGCAGGGTCATAATTCAAGAGGCTGCAAAAATGTGGCTGCAGATTCACTCATCAACAGCACAAGCACAACCGCGGTGACACCTCCTTAGGCTAGAGCTACCATAACCTAAGCTTAATCTTGACATGATAATCACTAATCTTGTTATTACTATTTTGTGCAGATTCACTCAACAATAGCACAAGCACTCTTATTTTGCAAAAAAATCAGACAAGAAAATAGTGGAGCAAACAAATATGAGCATATGGATCTTTATACATTGTTCATAGCTTAGCTCCTTCAATTGTAACGACTATATTATTTAAATGACAATTGTAATGCTTGTTTTGCTAGTAAAATGTACTCTGACAGTTATTGTACTTCATCTCAGACTTCAAAGCAAGAAAAAAAAATCAAATTTGCTATTAAATGCTGTCAATAACCGGCTGTAACAAGTTAAATAGGTATAGTACAAAGTTTAGTACTCTAACTGCAACAACTGAAAGGTGAGTACCCAATATGCGAAAAAGCCTATAGTTTAGTACCCAAGTCTGTAGTTTTGTTCACTTGTGTATGATCATTAAGTACTTATGGGTAGGGATGGCAATGGGGTGGGCGGGGCGGGGCGAATGTTGACCTTCTATCCCCATCCCCGTGATGGGTCCAAAATTTATCTCCATCCACACCCCGACGGGTACAATTCTAAAACCATCCCCACCCCCACCCCCATTGGATATCTACATCCACATAATACCTACCCAAGACCTGTCTAATCCCCGTCTCCCAAATATAACATTACGACATACTTCGTAATATAGAATACAATATAAAAAATAATAAAAAAAAAACCACTGTTAATATTACACATTTTTTTTGTTCATTTTATAATTCTTTTTTTTGTTTGGTTTTTTTTAAATGGACATTTTATAAGTCTATTACAAATTATTGTATAACAACTAGTTTGTGGCTCGGGCGATGACCCAAGTTTTGTTTAAATACAAAATGAAAAAATTACTTTAAATTTAAATAATATTTTGAAAACATTATATTAAATTTAAAATAAATTCAAAAAATGGGAAAAAAATATATGGGAATTGAAAGAGAGATACAGTAGTATACATGTAAATATTAATATGTGTAATTGCTTAACTGGTTTTTAATCTAGCAAATTACTCGTATCATTTATGGAATCAACAACCATTACAAATATGGAATCAACAGCTGTTTTGGGTAAAAATAACCCAGGCCACGTGGCCCAATAAGATGGTGACACGTGTCACCTTAAGAGAGGATCAAAATGAATCTCTCCTTAGCTGACACGTGGAATCCCCAATAATTTGGAAAAAGACGGCCTTCAAGGCCCAATTCCCGAGATAGCCCACCATTCCTAGGTTTTCGTAACCTAGGATAGCGGTACGAATCCCAAAACCCTATAAATAGGGAAGTGTTCCTACCTTGGGAGACATTCATACACATTCATTCAACACGAACAAACCAGAGCAGTCAATGATTGTAGATAATTAACTTTCACCTCAGAGAATATTCCCAATCTCGGAATCCGAGAAGATACTAGTTTACTTTCCGCACTTTTTACACCTTCCGAACACGTCCTAACTTGATTGTTTGAGGTAAAACTCCACCCAACCGGAGTCTCCGTTGTTTTGCAGGTATAGGCGCCCAAAATTCAGTCTTGGTGTTGTCGAAGGACACAGAAAACCCTGAAACATTTGGCGCCATTGATAAGTCTATTTTACATATATTTATTCCCCGTCCCAATGGTCATAATTGTGTTTATTTGAGCTCTACGGAGCTACTTTTGCTACTAATATGCGTTTTCTAGTGTTTTCGTAGATTTGGTATTGTTTTATAGGAAATTGCGGATTTGGAGTATTTTCCCAGATTTATTGGAGCCACTACGAGCATTAGAGTAAGGTCGCATTCATATGACCACATTCCGAAGCCCAAGACCGGTTGGAGTCATCAAATTGGTGATTAAGGGCTCGGCGAAGAAAAAGGAGTCTGGGGCAATGGACCATGTATTCAGAATCCAATGAGGAAATGCGAATTGAGCCAAGAAACGACCCAATTGAAGAAGTCCAAGTTCGCCCTGGAGCTCGCCCGGTCGGGCAAGCCCTAACCCGAAGGCGCGCCCGGCAAGGCGAGGAAGAAGGAAGAGAGTTGCTGCTCGCCCGAAGGTGCGCCCGGCAGGGCGAGATGGCGCCCGAAGGTGCGCCCGGCAGGGCGAGATGGCGCCCGACCGGGCGCGTGTTTCTGAGATCATTTAGCGACTTTTAATATTCGTTTTAGCTTAGGTTTTTTAGTTAAGTATAAATACGCTTTTGTTTAGGAGGTTTAGACTCTCTGGGACGTTTCTCTTTAGTTAATTTCATTAGTTTTAGTTTTAGGTTTAGAATACACTTGTTCCTCTCTCCACACTTTTGGTTTATGCAATTCTTTACTTCCGTTTATTTTGGTAACGATTTCTTCTCCTTTTTACTTTTAGTAATTTAACTGCTTGATTTAATTATGCTTTCTTTAATTGCTTTGCTTAGTTTAGATTTAAATATGCTCGAGTAGTTTTATACTAGAGTTTGTGGGGATCCATAAATAATATGAAGGGGTAATTTATTATTGTTGATTGTTAATGCTTTGGTTAATTTCCTATTGATTGATTTACTGCTATGCAATTAGATTTGCGCAGGTTTATTTGTATGATGAGTTATGCAATATTGATTCGAGATTCGAGATATGAGAATTGACGTTTAGGCTTAGTTTCAATAGGCAGGTTAATTTATAAATGGTTAAGTCAAGATTCGAGAGATGTGATTTATACCGGTAGATTAATTCTGTGATCGTAATACGTAGCGAAAGCCCTTTATGATCTGATTAATTTATGCATTGATAATTGTTGTTATGTTTTTACCCTGGAATATTATTTATTAGTGAACCTATACCCTAGGCCTTTTATTATTGATTTTCTCCCTTACTCAACTTGCTTTAGTTTAATTATTAGTTTTACTCTCATTAAAACAATTTGGTTACTTGATAATTTAGATTATATTAATTAATTAGGAATAGAAAGACTTGTTTCCCTGTGGATTCGACCTTACTTCCCTATCTATTTCAGTTAGTGGTTTTAGGAATTACTTTTGATTAGGTGATACGACTTTAGCCTGTCAAAGTTTGGCGCCGTTCCCTGGGAAACGGTTTTATTTTTATTTCTGATTATTTTTGTAGTCTAGATTATTTTATTTATTCTCAGAGAACGCAAGTTCTTTGGGACAGGTTTTCATATTTGTTTGTTTAGTTCTGTGTTTATGCCTAGGAGTTCTAGATCAGGTTACATTCCATTCGATCCTGAAATTGAACGTTCTTTTCATAGACAGAAGAACATTTTTAGACAGGTACGAGTTAATTCTGAGGGTAATACACCTTTGGAACTCCCATCTAATTCTAGTGACATAGAAGTTCATCCAGAACCAGGATCAGAGATGACGACTCAACCACCTCGTAAGCTCAGCGATTATTCGCAGCCGTCCTTGGCGGATTTTCCACATCTTTCTCCTACACCTAATCTTAAGGGAGTATAATTCGAGATTAAACCCCAGTTTATTACCATGATCGAAAGGAATCAATTTAGTGGAGCTAAGGGTGAAGATCCAAATCTTCACATCTTAGATTTTTGCCAATATTGCAACACTATCAGACAAGCTGGGGTCACATAGGACCAAATCAGGGAGATTCTTTTTCCCTTTTCTTTATGTGGTAAAGCAAAATTATGGTATAATGGACTGAATAGAACTGCACTTGGTATTACTGACTGGGAAACTCTTGTTTTGAATTTCTATAACAAATACTACCATGCAGAGAGAACAACTTTGTTAAGGAGTAAGATCCTAAATTTTTCCCAAGAAGCGGATGAATCTTTATATGAAGCTTGGGAAAGATTCAAGGATTTGCAGAGAGAATGACCCCATCATGGGCTAGCACACTGGCAGATAATGCAAGCTTTCTACAACAGGCTTGGATATAATTCAAGAATGATTATGGACTCTGCAGCTAACGAAAGATTTATGAATTTAGATGTGAATATAGCGAGTAATGTTGTTGAAGAGATGGCTATTCATAATTCCCAATATGGGAATCCCAGAGGATTTGCGAATAAGGGAAAGCACCAAGTCGATTCTATATCCTTTTTGCAAGCACAATTGACTGCCATTAGCCAGAAACTAGACAATATTAATAATTCTAATTCATCTCCCGTTGCTAATGTTTCTGCTGTTGGTACTAACTCTGCAATAATTTGTGAAAATTGTGGTCTTGTAGGTCATTGGGCTCAAGAATGTTCGCTTGAGAAGATTAATGCTTTTCAAGCCTATAAACAAACTAGTCCATACTCTAACACCTACAATGCAGGATTGAGAAATAACTAAAATATGTCGTACAATAGTATGAATGCGCCTAACCCCCCACCACAGGTACAACAACCGCAGCAGAGGTACTATCAACCTCCACATTAGAGACCATAACAGATTGTTACTCCTCCTTCTGATTCTGGCTTATCAGAAATTAGAACGATGTTAGTTGATATGCAGAAACAGATGCAGCATAGGGATGCGCAAATTGATTCGATTCTAGCTCATAATAAAATCATGGACAATCAAATTGCGCAACTGTCCTCTGCTCTACAAACTCGCCAGCAGGGAGCCCTACCATCGCAGCCAGTACAACCTACAGATCACGTGAATGCAATTACTCTGAGAAGTGGTTCAAGATACGATGGGCCTTCTATGCCCAAAGATGATGAACCTACCATTACAAATAGTGCTAATCCTGATTCTGTTATACCAAATACTGTTGTTACTAGGCCTGCAGGGCTCCAGGGTAAAACTAACATTTCTGATGATACATTGCAGGGTATAACTCCAAAGAAGGATAAAAATCAAGACAAGAGTGGAGATGTACAGAAACCAGTTATCAAACTACCATTTCCTAATAGACATCTTAAGAGTAAGCTAGATAAGCAGTTTGGTAAGTTTCTGGAGGTTGTCAAGAATTTGCAGGTAACTGTTCCTTTTACAGAATTAATTACTCAAGTTCCTACATATTCTAAATTTATGAAAGAAATCTTGACCAGAAAGAGATCTATTAGTGAGGTAGAGACAGTTGCTTTTACTGAAGAATGTAGTGCTATATTACAGAATAAATCTCCACCTAAACTAAAAGATCCGGGTAGTTTTTTATTCCTTGTCACATTGGTAATCTGATGATTGATAAAGCTTTATGTGATTTGGGTGCCAGTGTAAGTGTCATGCCACTATCTGTGAGCTCTAAATTAAATATGGGTAATTTAAAAGCTACCAATATTACTCCGATCGTTCTGTTAAATACCCCTTAGGTGTTTTAGAGGATGTTCCTATTAGAGTAGGTAAATTTTATATACTTGTTGATTTTGTTGTTCTTGATATGGAGGAAGATTTGCAAATTCCGATTATTTTGGGTAGACCATTCCTTCATACTGCAGGGGCAATAATAGATGTTCAAAGTGGTAAACTTACATTATGTGTAAGGGATGAAAATATTACTTTTAATATACATAATGCCCCTAAAAGCCCTATTTTAGAGGAAAAATGCTTTAGTATTGGTGTGGTTGATGTAAATAATTTTTCTAATAAGCCCTAAGCTCTCGTTGGAGATCCCTTGGAGGCGGTATTTTGTGTTACATCTTCCACAGGAAAAGCTACTACATGGAAAGATGAAGTGGATGTTATAGAAAGAGCTCTAAATTGTGTAGGGCTTGGGTTTGAAGATGAACAAGTGGAGAAAAAGGAGCAAATTGAGAAAAATCAGACTCAAAGTGTTGTATCGCGCCCTACCGAGCGAGCACTCGCCCGACCGGGCGCGAGAGGAACTCCATATATGAGCGAAATTCGCCCGACCGGGAGCGCAAACAAAGGTCGAAAAAAGAATCAAAACTGCCCGACTGGGCGCGTGAGCGGGACATCAAAATAGGCCAACTTCAAGACACCATATCTTTTGCATTTCTTAACGAAATTTTGCGTGTGACCTATTGTTGGAAAGATCTTCAAGTCTACTTTCTAATACAATTAGAATCACTGCATTATCATTTGTATAGAAAAAGTTATGAGCAAAATAGTGAACCTGACTCGTTTTTGCCTCTTTTCCTACTAACACTTTGTTTCTTTTTTGTCCAGAATTGTACCAAAGTGCTCAAATGTGATGCCTAGGATGGTGGTGGCTACGGGTTTGATGATGAGGGCTAGTCTCTTGGGTTACTAACTTCTCTTTAAGCCAATGAGGACATTGTCTGGTTTGGCTTGGGGGGAATTTCTTGTATATATAGGTACTCTTTCTTTCCCTTTTCTTTTTACTTTCTTTGGTGTGCTTAGTTTAGTTTTATTGTTTTCTAGAGTAGTTTTTATTGCTTTAAAAAAAATATATAAAAATACGATCCATTGAATGATAAATCATTCTTCCCTGTGCCCCATAAATGAAAATTATTTTGGTTCTTAGTATATGATGATGAGTATTGTGGATAGGTTAGCCATGATTTGATGTTTGGTTGCTTGGATGCCCTAACATGATTCAATTTTGTCCAACTATTCGTGGATTTGGTGCTTGGCTAGTTGATTTGGTTAGGAATTGTGTGTTAGTTCCTGGTATGTCAATGAAGTTGAGTATTGGTTTGCAACTTTGAGTAATGTTTGTATGACTCATTATTATGCACATTGAGGAGGACGAAGGCATTTGTTCTTTTAGGTAGCCTTCAGATGATTTTAGATACATTTGTTCCCTTCTTGCTACCCATGTTGTTGCTTGTGCCCTTTTTGTTGTTTATTAGCCACATTACAAGCCTATTTCTGCCCCATTGGTTACTAGTCCCAAGCTTGGCTTGGGGGGAGCTAATAGTAAGTGAGGTGAGGGAGTTGTAGTGTGCACATAATTTGCACAATTTTGGGTAGATTTGAGAAGTTATTTATTTGTTCTTATTTTTGTGGATTGGAAAAAATTGAGAAATTGTTGTTCAAGATAAAGTTGAAAAAATTCCAATGTGAGATAAAAAGAAAAGAAAAAAAGTGCAAAAGAGGAAAAATATTGTTTCAATGTTCAAGTGTTCTAATGAAGGTTGCTCAAAAAAGGAAAAAATCAAATTTAAAAGAAAAAAAAAGAGTTCAAAGTTTGTTTGTTCACTCAAGCTCTATAGTGTTATATTTTGTATATATGAGTTGTAAGTGTTGGGAATTTTTAATATAATTGGATGTTTGGTGAATTTTTGGTAGAGTTGAGTTGTGTTGGAGATGATTTGGTCATTATTTAATTTTGACCTTGGTTTTTTTTTAGGATTTGGCTCCCTTAAGCATGGCTTTACTCTCACATTTTCCCAAATATTTCCTACCCTTTACCTAAGCCTTACATTACAAGCTTTGAAGACCTTCCGACCTTTGTGCATAGAGTTGTATGAATGTGAAATTAGTTGTTTATCAATGCAAAGAATGAATTGATATATTTTGAGTCGACTACTCGGTTGAGTGTATGTCTTTTAAACACACGAGTATTGTGAGTTTGGGAGGGCATTGTTCATGTATAAAAGGGTGGTTGGAGAGCGATCGGATACATTTTATACCCGCCACATAAAAGAGTGAAGAGTGCGTGAGCACTAGTCTTGAATTCCATATACACTTGGGGTTTTCTCTATTTGACAATTGTTAGGGAGGATGAGTAGTTGGATGGATTTGATTGGTTGACTTTGATGCATATTTGTTGGATTTGCTTTGAATCGATTGTGCTTGATTTAAATTATTTTTGGGGTGAAGTTTTGGTTTATTTATTCATTGCTTTGCTTAGGGAAAAGCAAAGGTTTGGCTTGGGGGAGTATGATATGTCTATTTTACATATATTTATTCCCCGTCCCAATGGTCATAATTGTGTTTATTTGAGCTCCACAGAGCTACTTTTGCTACTAATATGCGTTTTCTAGTGTTTTCGTAGATTTGGTATTGTTTTATAGGAAATTGCGGATTTGGAGCATTTTCCCAGATTTATTGGAGCCACTATGAGCATTGGAGTAAGGTCGAATTCATATGACCACATTCCGAAGCCCAAGACCGGTTGGAGTCATCAAATCGGTGATTAAGGGCTCGGCAAAGAAGAAGAGTCCGGGGCAATGGACCATGTATTCAGAAACGGCCCAATTGAAGAAGTCCAAGTTCGCTCGGGAGCTCGCCTGGTCGGGCAAGCCCTCGCCCGAAGGTGCGCCCGGCAGGGCGAGGAAGAAAGGAAGAGAGTTGCTGCTCGCCCGAAGGCGCGCCCGACAGGGCGAGATGGCGCCCGACCGGGCGCGTGTTTCTGAGATCGTTTAACGACTTTTAATCTTCGTTTTAGCTTAGGTTTTTTAGTTAAGTATAAATACGCTTTTGTTAAGGAGGTTTAGACTCTCTGGGACGTTTCTCTTTAGTTAATTTCATTAGTTTTAGTTTTAGGTTTAGAATACTCTTGTTCCTCTCTCCACACTTTTGGTTTATGTAATTCTTTACTTCCGTTTATTTTGGTAACGATTTCTTCTCTTTTTTACTTTCAGTAATTTAACTGCTTGATTTAATTATGCTTTCTTTAATTGCTTTGCTTAGTTTAGATTTAAATATGCACGAGTAGTTTTATACTAGAGTTTGTGGGGATCCATAAATAATATGAAGGGGTAATTTATTATTGTTGATTGTTAATGCTTTGGTTAATTTCCTATTGATTGATTTACTGCTATGCAATTAGATTTGCGCAGGTTTATTTGTATGATGAGTTATGCAATATTGATTCGAGATTCGAGATATGAGAATTGACGTTTAGGCTTAGTTTCAATAGGCAGGTTAATTTATAAATGGTTAAGTCAAGATTCGAGAGATGCGATTTATACCGGTAGATTAATTCTGTGATCGTAATACGTAGCGAAAGCCCTTTATGATCTGATTAATTTATGCATTGATAATTGTTGTTATGTTTTTACCCTGGAATATTATTTATTAGTGAACCTATACCCTAGGCCTTTTATTATTGATTTTCTCCCTTACTCAACTTGCTTTAGTTTAATTATTAGTTTTACTCTCATTAAAACAATTTGGTTACTTGATAATTTAGATTATATTAATTAATTAGGAATAGAAAGACTTGTTTCCCTGTGGATTCGACCCTACTTCCCTATCTATTTCAGTTAGTGGTTTTAGGAATTACTTTTGATTAGGTGATACGACTTAAGCCTGTCAGCCGTCTGTGGGGAAAGTACCTCTAAGATGGCTTCACAAGAACCTGTACCACCTCCTAATGAGAAACGGCCTACGGCCGGATTTGAGGTCTATTCGGACCATGACACCGATGACGACTTTGAAGTCGAAACATATGTGGCCGCAGATGGGTCGCTCAGAACCAGAGGTACCTGTCCCATAGAAAGAAGGGAACGTGGCGATGAACAAGCTAGTCCTAGTAAATCATCCGGACAGCCGTCTGGATAACACCAGGCGACAGAAGGCACAACCCCAATTACTCGAGACGAACTCATGAAATTCATGACAAGTTTCAAGGGGGAAATCAAGGACCTGATCGACAAGAAGACGGTTGGCTGCAACAGGGGTCAGTCGGCCAAGAAACCTTCTCTCTGTGAGAAGAACAAATCAGTCAGGGACCGAGAGCCCACTCCGCATCCTAAATCAAAGGATGGGAAGCGACCCTTGATCGATCTTACTAAAATCCGATTCCCTGAGCCAGGGAAGAGGAAGGTCATCCTGCATGTCCAGCTGCACGGCTCAAAGAAGACTTATTCTGATGCCCGGATGTTAATCCAGTAGAAGAAGGGTCAACAACTGTCCGAGTCAGCTTCAACGTCGACTTACCCAGACAGCTTTCAGAATACCTCAATGAGGTATTCGTAATCAAACCGAGAGAGTCAGTCAGGCGGTTTGTCCGTTCGCACTGGCCCTCAGATAATCTATTCGGCTCCGTATGTGCCACAACAGCAATACATGCCGTATGGACAACCATACATGCAGCTGGCCCTCTTTTGGGGTCAGGCGGCACAAAATGTCCAACCTTTGGACTGGTAGCTTCGTCTGCGAAAACTTGGGGAACAACCTTTTGCGTCTCCAGGGAGATAACCAAGGCGGCATAGCCGGCCAAGTTAACAATGTTATGGTGGGTACTTATGATGGTACCACCAACCCTGAAAATCACCTGATGGCCTACACCAACCTCATGTACTTACAGGGGTTGGATGATGCCACCTGGTGCCGATGCTTCCCGACTACATTGAAGGGGGCATCGCCTAACGATGGTTTGGCAACCTGCCAGCTGGCTGCATCAATAGCTTTAAGACGCTTGCACACCTTTTTGCTTCTAACTGCTCTATGAACATCCCTGCTAAGAAAACAAGTCTTGACTTGGGTGCAATACAGCAGGGAGATAGAGAAGGGCTAAGGTCCAATGTCAGTCGGTTCAATCTGATAAGAATTTAGATTCAAGGGCTGTCTGACGAAGTGGCTTATACAGACTTTTTTAAAGGTCTGAAGGACGGGTCGACCTTTAAGCTCGACCTCGTCAGAAAGAGGGTAGCCACCCTCCAAGAAGCTCTGATGGAGGCGGAAGCCTATATGCAGGCAACTGAACTCTGCTCCATCATCAAGCAATCAGACCCCAAAAAGTCTGACAAAAAAGAGAGTCGGTCCGCTCAACCGGCTAAAAGAGAAGAGAGCAAAAAGAGAAAAGAAATTCGGGTGGCAGATGACACTGAACAACCATCCCAGAAGAAGAAGAAGAAGAAGAATAAGAAGAAGAAGAAGAAGAAGAAGAAGAAGAAGAAGAAGAAGAAGAAGAAGAAGAAGAAGAAGAAGAAAGAGTTTAAACCGTACGTCCCTAAGTACGAGTTTAACAAGGACTGCTACTCCATCCTCATGGAGATTAAAAAGACCAGGTGACAATTGAGAAACCGACTACAATGAAAGGTTCTGCCAAAAATCGGAACAAAAACAAGTATTGCCTATGAGGACATTGGTCATGACACCAACGACTGCTATAGCCTCAAGCGGCTGTTGGACCGTCTGGCTGATAAAGGGTGCTGAAGTCCTACATTCTGAAGTCCAAGGTAACCCTGAGGACGAATAATGGACAGCCGTCCAACAGGGGAGCCCAACCTGCTCATAGTTCGGACACTGATGAAGAACTGATCTATACCATAGCAGGCGGCTTTGCTGGAGGAGGCCCAACCGTCCGAGGTACCAAAGACTATATTAGGTGGCTGGATGTCAGCTCAGTTGATGAAGGCCAGGCGTATAAAGACACCTTTTCTGAGGTCGTTATCACTGAGAAGGACAGGAGCAAGGTCAGGCGACCACATGATGACCCCATAGTCATTGAATGTAAAGTGGCCAACCAGAAGGTAGGTCGGATCCTTATTGACACAGGCAGCTCGTCTGACCTTATAGCCACAAGTGCTTGGCAAAGCTCAAGTACAAGCCCAGCAGTATGCACAAAGTATCTCATCCCTTAGTTGGTTTTGGGGGTGGACTAGTGCACCCGGTAGGGAGGATTGACCTACCCATCCGGTCAGGGGAGAAGGGGGAAGGACGCCACATGGTAGTCCAGTTCTTGGTTGTGGAAGAGTTGACCGCCTATAATCTGATATTGGGCCGTCCAACACTGAACAAATCCAAGGCTGTTATTATTCCATCCCTCATGCTCCTAAAATTTGAAAAGGATGACGGGTCTCTAGGCTCCCTGAATGGGGATCAGAAGACAGCAAGAGAGTGCTATCTCTCAGATGTCAAGCCCACAGTAGCCGCAGCTGGCCAAAGCGAGGAACCAATAGACCTTGATGAACTCAAGGAAGTCGTGCCTGCTCCAATAGCAGCCAGCAAAAAGAGAAAGGCCGAGCAGTTAGTGGCCATCAAAAAAGAGAAGTAATAGCAATCACTGACCGGGGAACTGTCAGATAAACTCCGTCCCCAGCCGGCTGGTGAACACATCGACATCATTCTAGACGCCACCTGTCCGGAGCGTACTGTTAAGATTGGGACGGTTGCTTTTGCAAAGTTGGGTGCAGACTTGCACGGTCTACTGAAAGAATTCAAAGACATCTTTGCCTTTGAAGTATAAGAGATGCCAGGCGTCAGCCCAGATCTAGCTGTTCATACACTTGCCGTGGATCCCAAAAAGAAGCCGGTTAGGCAAAAGAAAAGGAACCACGGTGAGGAAAGAAGTCAGGTAAGAGCCGCCGAAGTAAAGAAGCTGTTGGATGCTGGGTTCATTCGGCAATGTTACTTCCCGAATTGGGTTGCAAATGTTGTTATTGTGAAAAAGCCGAATGGTACCTGGTGCATGTGTGTTGACTACACAGATCTGAACAAGGCATGTCCGAAGGATAATTACCCACTTCCAAATATCGACAGTCTGATCAACTCTACAGCCGATCATGCCTTGATGAGCTTTATGGACGCCTACTCAGGCTTTTATCAGATACCCTTGTGGAAGAAAGATCAAGAGAAGACGTCGTTTGTCACTGATCCAGGGTTATTCTGCTATACTGTGATGCCGTTTGGGTTGAAAAATGCGTCCGCTACCTTCCAACGAATGATTAATACAGTAGGGAGGAACTTAGAGGCGTACATTAATGACATGATAGTTAAATCCAAGCTACAGACGGATCATCTTGCTGACCTCCGAGAAACCTTCACCACCCTTAGGCGGCACAAGGTCATGCTTAATCCCAAGAAATGTGTCTTTGGTGTTGAGTCGGGGAAGTTTCTCAGATTTTTGATTGACCAAAGGGGGATAGAGGCCAACCCAGAAAAGATACAGGCGGTTATTGACGTAAAGCCACCCCGCACTATCAAGGAAGTTCAAAAACTAACCGGTTGTCTGGCGACATTGGGGAGATTCCTCAGCCGGTCTGGTGACAAGTGCCTCTATTTCTTCCAGGCTATCAAGAAAAAGACAATGTTTGAATGGGGAGAGAATGCTGAGGTGGCCTTCCAGAAATTGAAAGAGCACTTGCACTCATTGCCGAGGCTTGTTAGCCCTCTGCCAAAGGAAGTGCTCTACATGTACTTACGCGTCTCCGATTATGCTCTTAGTGTTGTTCTCCTTGCTGAGAGAGATGGCACCCAGCTTCCGGTATATTTCATCAGCTATGTTCTTCGAAATGCTGAACTACGGTACCCAACCGTTGAAAAGTTCGGCCTTGCTTTTTTCATGGAAGTCAAAAAGTTAAAACCTTACTTTATGGCACATCCGGTTGTGGTCTACATAGAACTGACAACTATGGAGTCATCCGGCCGAATGATCAAATGGACTATTGAATTCAAAGCCTTGAAATCTCTTTTGAACCAAGGAAGGCAGTTAAGGGTCAGGCGTTTACTGAATTCATTGTCGAAATGGCAAGGCCGGCTGAGCTGGAGAATCTTGATCAGGTATGGAAAGTGAATGTAGACGAGAGCTCTACTATGAATGGTTGTGGTTCAGGCGTTATATGTCAGTCTCCTGAAGGAGATAAGTATGAATATGCACTACGGTTCAAATTCCAGGCCTCAAATAATGAGGCAGAACATGAAGCCCTGTTAGCCGGTATCCGCATGTGTAAGGCGGCAGGGGAAAGAAAAGTTGACGCCTGCATTGATTCACAATTGATCGTTAGCCAATAACATGGTGACTATGAGGCCACCCATCCGGCCATGATCAAATACTTGCAGGCGGTCAAAGAAGAGGTTGAGACACTTGATGAATTTCATATAAGTCAGGTTCCCAGTTCAGAAAACAATCAGGTGGATGCTCTTTCTAAACTGGCATCATCTGCCTCCTATGATACGCCTAGGTCAGTTTTTTGGGAAGTTATGGAAAAAAGAAGTATTGAGAAAGATCCCATTGGAATTCTGGACCGAAGCTCAAGCTGGATGGATGACATCTCGGCTTATCTAGCAAACGACACTTTGCCGGAAGCATACCCAGAAGCAGTTGCAATGAAAAAGCGAGCTGCAAACTTTGAGATTCATAATGGAGAACTTTTCAAGAAGGGTTATCTACAACCGTTATTGAAATGTATCACCCCAAAAAGGGGGAAAGAGGTTCTAGAGGATATGCACTCGGGTTTTGTGCATCACACATAGGCGGCAGGTCTCTAGCAAAAAGGGCCAGGCAGCAAGGATACTTTGGGCCCACTCTTGATGCAGACGCCATGGAAATGGTGAAGAAATGTAACAAGTGTCAAAGATTCGACAAACTCATACACCGTCCGGCCACTAACCTGACGGCCATTCAAAGCCCAGTACCATTCGCCAAATGGGGCATGGACATTCTGGGTCCGTATACGCCTGCTACAGGCGGACAACGATATATTCTGGTTGCTGTTGACTACTTCACCAATTGGGTAGAGGCAGAGACGGTTTAAGGCATTAAGACAAAAGATGTCCTCTCTTTCATCTGGAGGAATGTCATCACCCGGTTTAGGGTACCTATGTCCATGGTCTTTGACAATGACCCTCAGTTTGAGACGCCTACCCTCAAGAATTGGTTGGGAGATCAAGGGATCTCACATTGCTTTGCATCAGTTGGCCGTCCCCAAGCAAACGACCAGGTTGAAGCCTTCAACAAGCTTATCTCAGACGGCATTAAGAAGAAAATAGAAAGGGCTGGCGGTCTATGGGCAGATGAGTTGCCTCATGTCCTATGGGCCATCAGAACAACTGAAAAAGGGGCAACTGGTGAAACCCCATTTCTTATGACATACGGCGCAGAAGCCGTTTTGCCTATTGAGCACTATGAGTCGACTCTTCGAGTCATGCTTTATGACGAAGAGGCTAACTGGGAGGCCATGCGGCTAGCATTGGACTCACTCCCGGAGCACAGGGGCAATGCCGCCTTGCTTCATGAGATTTATCGTCTGAGAATGACAAGAGCCTACAATAAAAGAGTACACAAACGGCTCTTGAAAGTAAGGGACTTTGTGTTACGAAAAATGGAGGCAACTGGTAGGGCAAATGAGCAAGGAAAGTTGACTCCCAATTGGGAAGGCCCCTACCAGATCTATGAAGAAGTAAGAGGCGGCATCTACAGCCTGGAAACTCCAGACGGCAGACAACTAGCCAGAACTTGGAATGTAGACAACTTAAAAAAGTACTACTTCTAAGACTTCTTAAATTTTGTAAATAAAGTTTATCAATGAAAGGTTGTTCTTTATTGCTCTGTATAAATACCGTCTGTGCAATGTATAGATGGACTTGTTAAAATTTTACGTCTGCTCCAACATGAGTAGATATAAGCTAAGTCTAAAAACTTAGCAGCTATGTGTAGTTCCTTATAGAACACCCTGATGAGGCCAATGGCCAGATGATAATACAAATCGTCTGCTCCAACACGAGTAGGCAATCGACGACGCCCATCACGGTGAATTCGTCGCAGAGAGCATCTCCCATTCGGGTGGCACATTGCTCTATAAACTTAAAAATAAACGGCCCTGCCGACTGTCTGGATTAAGATAAGTTCGCAGCCGTTTGAATGATCAATTGCACCTGGATAACATAGGTTACCGTCTGTATCAAACAGTAACCGGTAGCTATCTTGGTTGGATATAACTTGTTATTGCTCAGAGGCAATACAAAAGGTTAAATTTGAGTATCTAAGCTAAGCTAAAAACTTAGCAGCTATAAAATACTCGTTACAAGCAATTACACACGGCCAATGGCCGTCTGCCACAAAACGATAATTTGTCTGCTCCAGAAAGAGCAAGACATCCGGCGAAGCCCCTCCAAGTAAATTTGTCGTAGAAAACAATTGGCAGACTGATTAACCCCATGAGGATTAACTCACAACCGGTTGACCTGAACGATCTAAGATGGAACCTAGGCGGCATAGCAAAAACCGCACGTCTTATTGACACTAACCGGTATCCGACTGCTATTCCAACTTGGATTAAAATTCTCTGAAAATCGATTCAGATGCGGTCAATGACAATCTGATATTCAGTTTGGATGCTCAATGGACGACTGTCCGCTTGGTTTGGGAAATCACCTTGGTGATTGATTGACCCAGAAATTAGTCATACCCTTACAGGTATCAAAAAAATTTTAGATCAATCAACTCACTTTTAAAACCAAGCATACATCCGTCCAGGGGCAAATACACCTGGTGCATCCGGTAAACCGCATGTATTAGGCTACGTACTTGGAAAAATATATGCATATCGAAAATTGCAAAGATTGAAAAATTAAAGCAAATTTGGCGAAACCGACTCAGTCAGAAAATCATATAATAAAAACCGACCAAAAGGCCGGGAGAGTAATTGTCAAACCGGATTTACATTCGGGAAAGAGAAATTGTCAAACAAATACAACAGAAATACTCGGCACACAGGCCGGAAATACAGACAGCTACCAAAAGCTTATATTTACTGAGGCGAGGCCGTGGGCAAATCCTTCGCAGGCGGAGTAGGAGCAGAGTTCACCTGGGTTTCATCTTCTTGTTGCTCTTCCTCTTCATCCTCTCCTGCGCCATCAGCAGCCTCCTCGCCGTCTGAGAGCTCCTTTTTGACCCACTCCTGAAACGACTCAGGCTCCGGCTTCCCTTCAGCCCTTGCTGAGAGAACAAGATCTGCGTATCTGTAGGCCAGGTCCCAGACGTCATACTCAACAACCGGATACACCAGCTTCCAGGCCATCTTCATCTGGTCTTCACAGTCTTGCTCATTCTTCTCAATGAGCCGGCTCTGCTCAGCCTCCAGGGTTGCCCTGAAGTTGTCCCGGGAGGCGGCCATCTCCTTCTTCAGACGGTCGACGTCTGCTTTGAGAGTGGAGTTCTCCTTGTTGGTCTCCTCTAGGGATTTGAGGTCCGCCTGAGCACTTTTAAGCACCGCCTTTAGATTTGAGGCCTTCAGATTAGCCTCATTAAGGGCAGCCGTAAGCTGTTTGATGGAG